AGATAGATAGATAGATAGATATCGTAATATATTGTAATACAGTATACGATAATATGAGATATATATATACTATAATAGTCTGCGATATTATACTATACTGTATCATAAATATACTAGAAGATGGGCCCCGGGCTGGTAGTTGACTTCCTTGGATCTGCCCAGCTTCACGGCCACGCTGCGGGTGAAGACCTGGGAAGAGCGCTCACTTTGAGGCCCCTTTTTGGGGGCCTTGTGGGGGTATTAGGGTGCGTACTGTGGCGCTTGCATGGCAGATTTTTCTGCACCGAGCTATATTGAGCGATGCTCTCCGCCGCTTTGCATGTTTTTTTGAATATTTTCGCACTCTGAGGACTCCAAAGGCGGTGCTTCGGTACCCGGCGTCAGCCGTGGACACTGCAAAATTCGCTCCGAGATCTCAAGCCTGAAAGCTCTACTGGGCATGTGGGGCCTTTGACGGGAACGATGCCGCAGTATTTAAAGAATACCGGGCCTAAACCCTAAACCCCTAGAATAGTGTGAGCACAGAATGTCACGAGACAGCGACTCCGCTGAGGATCCCTGCGGAATACAGCAGGGCATACGTTCCGGTGTCAGAGATTTGGCACCTCGACGGCGAGGGGCATGTGCATTCCAAACCCAGAACATTGTGGAACTTATCTCATCTGAATGGACAAACTCTTAGAGCCCTGTCGGCAGAATTCTACGTTCGAACTTTCTCATATTTGGATCCCAATAAGACAAGAGATGCTTCAGGAAAACAGGGCCTTGTGTTCATCGACGATCCATCTTCCTTAATCTCAAGCCCCAAACCCTGGCCAAGGACCAAGCTCTCCATTCACCATCTTCTTGGCATGCTCCATGGCCAAGGGAAGAGACATCCGCCGCATCAGCGGCACTTCCGGCCTCTGTTCCGGGATTTGGGGCTACTCTCCACGCAGGCCGCGCTTGGGGTTCAGGGTGTTTGGGGGGGGCGGGGGGGAAGGCAGCCTTGTCTTTCCAGCATGGAGAAAAATGAACTGCCCAAGCTCCAGACTCAAACCCCCAAACCCTAACTCAAAGTCCTGTGCCGTGTCCAACTCCCGGTTGAGCCGACGACCCCTCGGAGTCCTCCCCGACATCTTCCCGCAGGAGCAGCTCCGCCTTTGGAAGCAATACTTGGACTTCGGGCTTGGGATTTAGGGAATTTTAGTTTATCGCCCCTTTTTCATCAGCCCATGGGAGTCAGAAAGGCCAGGTTGGCTGAGGCATGATGACGGGAGCTAGTTTGACATCAGACTGACCATATGATAAACACCAACAACCAGCTCCCAACAGCCACACAACGGCAGTCTTGAAGACGAAGAACATCGACCGTCCAAACAAGGAAAATACCCCCTAAAAGGAAGACCCTTGACTGCATAGAGGTTGCATGGCACAACTGTGATTCGCCTACGCAGATGCTGCACCAGTGCCACACAGGGAGGCAGAACTCGGGCTATTCCCTACAAAAACATGAACAGCCACATCTGACAGCATCTACTTCGCGCCCTCTGCTAGCACTACGGCACTCCTTCATCTGTACCAGCCCCTCCAAAGAAAGACAGCATAAACTATACCGGAGCCCTACATAAGGGATTTAGGGTTTAGGGTTTAGGGTGTAGGCGACTGTGGAAGTAGATTGGAGGTGCAGTGCAGAGATGGGGCTGTCCTCTAGTTGCAAGCGCCCGTCACTCGATCTGGGCAGCATGACGGGCCATTTTAGAAGGTATTCCACTTTCGGGTTGCTTATGTAGTACATCTTATGCTGTGTGGAGTACCATCATGGGGCCCAGACCTTGGAACTCACCCCTGTGAGGCCGCAACGCCCAGTACTTCAAAGAGCAGGTCGAAGAGGGAGCACATGAGCACCTCGGCCGATGGAAAAGTGAAAATCACGGTCGAGAGGGCGGATGTGCTGCGTCCAACGTGTAATCCTTGAGCTGCACGCGACGGCCCAGCAAGGCTGAGAGTAGTACGATATGGAAACTACAGACTACAAGTGCCTGGTTTCATCGCTCGCTATCAGCAGCATCTTGCAAGGATTTGCGACATGCTTCCAAGCCATCCTCATCATACGTTCTACGTTGCAGGCTTTCGGCTGCATTTCTGGCCGCCTCCCGGGAGTTAGGCCTGATCCGCACGACTCAGTCACAATGCCCTTCCTTTCAACTTTCACCATCATCATATAATCTGTCTACTGCTGGTCCAGCCTCCTGCCGTGATTTCCTGGAGGCTGCAGAATCAATCGGAGGGACTACTCTCTTGGTAGATCAGGCCCGACCTGCTCCAAAGCGATGGCCTGTTTCATCATTGATACGAAACAGGAGTGTAGCGGTTGCTACAGTCTGTCGCTCAAGAGTCCCAAACCCCACTTTCAACTTAGGACTTCGAACCACTTGCGGATGCGGAAAGCCGTTGAGCTTGCTACTAGGAGAATGCTGCTCGGGACATCTGACACACCAAGCACTCGTCTTCTGAGCAGCTTTCGGATCTGATCGCCAGCTGAACTCACCAACGCGTCATGCACTACACACTGGGCTTTCCACATTCTGATCCAAATGGCACTGCCACTTGGACCTGGGATCACGGGGCAGGCAAAATACGGTACCTAGCCACACTCCAACTGCGGTTAATGCGCATGCTCTCAGACCAGGACTATACTGCACACCATAATTCACGCGACTGGTTCTCACAGCACAGCTGTGGAAAAAAGCATCCTGGCACAAACCCAATCTCATCAAGATCGTGATTGAAGGCTCCGAACTGGGCTACTAGGGGTGAGGGATCAAAAAAGAATTAAATTAGGATCAAAAAAAGTAAACCACAAAGATCAAAAAAAAGTAAAAAAACAGGATCAAAAAAAATTAACG